CTTTTTCAGCGTTCCATTAGAACGAATCACTTCTACGTCAAGGCACGGTAACCGCTCACCTTCTTCTACTTCCATTGTGAATTGAATATTTGCATCAATTCGGTTTACAAATTGCTGAAATTTATCTACTTTTTCTCTTCCATATGATCAAAGTGCGAAGTAATCATCCAGGTACCGCATGAGCACTGTCGGAGCTGGGGATGCTTGCTGACGATGCCGAAAAAACGTCTGGGAATGTACCACATCCATGGTCAGACTCTAGAAATAATCTTGCATGCTATAGGTTCCAGACTATATGCGTTCCTCTAGGTCTTCCTACCAATATGACCAAGTTGCGAAAACAAGGTCAAACAACTTTTATATGTTTTCGAGACTACCGCTTAGTAGCTTTTGTCTAAATTTCTTAAGCAAATTTAGGGGATTAATAATATATTCTTTCCTCAAATGAGACGTGCTTTCAAGAAGACTTAAGAAGCCTTACCCTCTAATTTATCTTGCGCAATTAGGTTGTGCTCTAAAACTATCAAATTGTTGATTAGGTGCGGTCAAAGAAAAAAAAATGAAAAAGGACAGTACAAAGTACGTTCTTGGAAATATGTCTCAGTTGCGAAATTCAGACCAACTTCACATAAGGAAAAAAGACTGCGAGAAAATCAAAGGCAACCCTACCTTTGCCCTAGTATACACATTTAATTTAATTTCCAGAAATGACAAGTTTGTTCAGAGCGAAGCATCCAGATAAAAAATATAAAAAATATCTAGCTTTGTGCAATAAAAGAATAACCAGATATGCTATAATGTGCTTCTTGCATTTTTAGGTGTTACAATGCAATGAATGTCCAATATAAGCGTCAAAAATCGGTGAGGGATTTAAAGTTATACGTAATATCCATATAATTTATGAAGGCAACACTGGTGGCCGCAAAAGCCTCTATTATTTTACTAGAGATAACAAGAAACAATTTTAAGAAGCCTGCAGAAAATGATCGCGCATATCCGAATTTATATTCATTTAAATGAAAGTTAGCAACAAAACACCACTTGGCGCTGTATTATGTGAGAATCTCTCGAGGGAATTTCAAAGACAATTGGATGGTGCACCGTTAAAGCATCCGGAATGAGAAAAACGGCCAGTCAGGCAAGTTTAATTGAAAGTGAATGAGAAGACTGCCAAAACACTTTTATGCAGAGCAATAAATTTGTCTATCCTTGTTAACTTAGTTTCAGGTTAAAATGAAAGTTAGATAAAAATTCCTTATAATGAAAAAAGAGATACGTATAGTAGTACAATCACAATAAAGAGCAAATGTATATAAATGGCGGCCAAAGGAGGTTGTTGAAATAAATATTTTCTTAACGGGGAAATTTCCCAATATTTATTAGAATTTCTCGTATATAAGCAGAGTTTCGAATTATTAGAATTGTAGAAAATCTAAACAAGACAATAATCGATATTGAAGAAGATTCTTTTTTACATTTGCTAAAGAAAAATCAAACTGAATTCAATAAAAAACGATAGTAGCAGTAAGAGTAAGATGTTATAATTACCTGACAAGGAATTCGGCTCAAGAGGTGAGTCGTTTGGTAGAGATCGGCTATATAGGGATGGAAAAAAGGTTAAAAATAGCAATAGCTCACAAAATATGGGAAAAAAGTCAACAATAGATAATAATTAAGTGCATTAGATTCAACATGAGGAACAAGATAGATTGGTACATAAAAACACAAATAGAGAGACATGACAAAGATCATAGACGGATGATTGATTTGAATAAAAGCTGTTGTCTTGCTGCTCAGATAAATTCTTGCTATGTGGTCAGTATCAAGTTTCAAATAAAGTGAAGGAGAAATCGATGTCAAATGTATTTGGATAATAAAAAAATATTAATTGTATAGTTTTGCTAGAAAGTTTTTATTAATCCTAGATTGATATAAAATGCTTAGTAGTAAATATACCAAATGCTCATGGAGTAGCTTGCAAAAAACGAATAACAACACTTTTCAGGGCTTAGAAAATCGAGATTAGACGTAAGAAATTGGAAATTTAAAAGAAGATATGAGGACCAAGATGGGATGGCTCTCGGGATAGGCGTACACAGTTAGATCAGGTTACGCGAGGCTAAGCAAGAAGACGATCCGTGAAGGCAATGCCTGATATCTGAAGAGATAGGAATCAGAGCTTAGGCAGCTATCTATATGCTTCTAAGGGCTTGAGGAATAGGGCATGAAGTAAAACGCACACTAGGACTGAAACAGTGAAATCGGTCAATCAGAAATAAACGGATCAACGGGACCATGAGGAAGATCCAGATAGGAGGCTCACCTTTTGGCGAGTTAGAATTTGTGATAGAGCGGGAGTAAAATAAGAGGGTAGGGCGTAGATAGACTGTTTGTGGCAGAAAGGGGACTGATAGCATAACCGTGTCGGAAGAAAGTTTGGTCACGAGTTTGATTTCACTTGTTTCTTTGACAAGTTGGAACTTGGTGCTGAGAATGGCAAGACTCACTGATGATGTAGACTATGATGCCAATGAAACGTCTGAGAAGGTACCAAGTCCACGATCTGACGCTGGGAATTATGGTAACTACTATGACAGAGGACTTCAGACAAGGTACGCCCAACTAAGTCGCCCTGACAACAAGAGCATGTCGCGAAAGCGAGATCAACCCACTTCTAGCATTTAAAGTCTAATTTTTAACAAAGTGGTTATCAAGACTATCAATAATTCTTGAATAAGAATTTAATCGGCATGCTTCTCTCAAGGTGTTTGCTTGGTCAACAATCCCAATATAAAATGTGACTTGGGAGAGAGGCATGGCTCGCCTTAAAACTTCTGTGATTCACTGGCGCCCGTGGCCGTGTAATGGAATTGTAAACAGCGCCATGATGACCAAGAACCGATATCGAGTTCCAAAGGTGATGCTGACGAAACCTAGACGAGGCCGAAACTGAATTCCATCCAGGAGGAAATAAGCTTTTAGGAGGCAAGTATTAGTGAAATTCAATAGAATCGTATGTCCTACTCATCTCATTATGGAAAAAACACAACTTTCATCTTAATTTGTAAGATAGATTAGGTATAATGATTTTATGACTCGACATTTCCACCAGGTAGGTGCACTTTGGTAGAAGCTGAAGCCTCTAGCAGGCCTTCCGCAGCAATCACAATAATTAAAATATTGAAAAGTGAAACATGATATTTTGTAAAAATAAATTATCAACCGGAGACAAGGACCAGAAATATCACACCTAGAACACAGTTTACAAAATAATCGAGAGGAATCGAGGACTAACTCTTTTGCAACGGCGACAAGTGCAGGCGACCCACTTGATCCTGCTGGTCTGGCACGGCTGACAGTGCTGGCTGAGGGAGTGCTATTCGTGGAAGCAGAGGATGCCAAATGGCCATTAGGAGTGGCCGAATTCGGACCTAAAGATGTATGCTGTTGCCCAGATGTGGTGGATGCAGAAGAGACATTTGAGGAAACACCCGTCATGACGCGATTTGAGGCAGAACTAGTCCTGGATGAGGAAGCAATGACATTCGCGATTGTGGAAGTGGAAATAGCTGCAGATGATAAAGACAATGAGGATGAAGAAGCAGATATAGACACCGATTGGCTGGCACCCGTAGAATTGGATAAATGCGCGGAGCTAGGAGTGAATCCTGTGGAGGAAGGCGAGACTCGTGAGACGACTGGTTGAATGCAATGAGATACCCGGCTAACAGAGGAAGAACGAGTATCTAGAATATCAGGAACACGGTAAAAAGTTATAAATAAGCCTAAATATATAAGTATGAAGTAAGAGGGAGATATGGCACCAAAGGCAATGCTTCACAGAGAAGATATGAAACGTTGAATTAAATCAAACTAAATCCGTATGTAAGCAAGTGGCGCGAAAGTTTCAAGAAGACACTTTGTATTGCATCTTCCAACTATGCAGGCAAGTACCTTCTCGAAATCTGAAAATTTACTACAAACATTACCCCACATTTCGCCGACATTGTTAGCGATCAGATTCAGCAATAGCTTCTGTAAAGATGACAAATAAATCAAATCTATTAACCAATTTTCTGTAGAATGATTCTGGCATTTCCCCTCTACATACCAAGATGCATCTCTAATATAAATGAATTGTAATTCCATCATATATATTTACTTTATATGGCTAGGACTACTCTTAAGAACAATTAACACCCTCATCTGTTACAAAAACTCGTTGAAGATAGGTTTATTGAAGCTTAGTTATCGCCACCAACGATTCCCCACCCGCTGACAGGCCTCCAGAACCAAATTGATACATCAAGTCGGCAATCACCTTCAGTTAAATATTCGCATTTTCAGTTGGTTTGACTTCGTTTTTGAAACTTGGTGGAAGTATCAGGGAGACCTTGTGGAATGTACCTAGTCATGCGTCCTCTGGGAATATATCAAGTCAATGGTCGGATGCTGGAAATCGCGAATACTACAGTAGAAGAAGCATGAATAAATAAGGATTTTTAGTATATTTTAACTAAGTTCTTCGCATCATTAGTGAAACCCTTTTAAGACGATTGTATCTACTCGATAGACAATCCCTCTACAATTTTGAAGCAATGTATTTGGTTTACTTAGTTCACTGCATTCCATTAATCCATCGAGAAAGTCTTCCTTGCGATTGGTAGGGTTCAAATAATGTCCTTGATCAAAGCGTCCCTTTGCTAGTTTGGCTGATTATTTGCAAAAAAAAACAAAATTCTTACTAAGTAATTTCTCATAGAATCCATTGTTCATCAGATTACTTTAAACTAAGATGACGACTGAAGTTTCGAACTCGCCTGGGTCTGACCAACACCTTACCGGTACGCTTAAGAGACCTGGCTTTCCTTTAAATTTCCCTGTGTTCTAAGACCCACTGGTGCTAGTGGCAATGTGTCGTGGTGATAGCTTGTCAAGATTGTACGCTAGCCGGGTTCGATTCCCGCCGAGGGTGGTGATGAGCACTATGCGAAGCCACCATGAATGAAAATACCTTGCCCTTGGAAAAAAAGATAAAGTGAAATTCATTGGAAATCTGAGGCATACTTATCTGATTTGGAGAATACTCATTGTCCGTCCCTAAATCACCTTGGGCGATCTAGAGTTTATCTTTATGCCTAATAGCCTTGATATTTTTCCTATTTAACTTTGTTTATTAATACGGCTTGAAAAAGTAAGTAAAAGCCTACAAAATAATAATGCCTCCCTCTATGCAGAGATAGTGAAACATTCATTTTTACCTTAACTTGGTTATTCAGACGTCAGCTAAAAAAGGTGAGTGGCGAATCGAAGGAAAAACGTAAGATCTTACCTACGAGGTGAGCAAAGCATGTCCAGGATTGACAATAGTCCTGATTCGGCCCTGATTTAATCCGTATTAAAACCAGATTTGAAATCAGGTTTAGCGATT